TTAAAAAAAAAAAAAAAAAAGGATATGTGGCTTTGAAGTAAAGAGCACAGCTCCCAAACCCACTGCTCAGGCTCCACAGGCCCCTCCAGAAAGCAGCTTACACCTGTGCAAATCCAGAGGGCCTTGCTAGAGGGGCCTCAGGCCTAGGTGTCCCCTTCCCTTAAGGTACAATCTGGAGGTAGGGGGACCTCCCACAGCTGCAGACACTTAACTAGCCAGGTTTGCCAGAACCAGCTGCCTGGCACCCAGAAGGACTCGACCAACACCTCCTTCAGCCCCTCCCCTCTTCAGACAGATGCCATGCTTTGGTGACCAGACCTGCAGCAGACAGCACTTCCTCCTCTTGTGTCTTCCATAGTCAGGAGCCATCAGCCTCTCTTCCACATGGCTAGGCCTTTCGTCACGCAGCACAGCACCAGGTTTAGCACAGGCAGAGGTGCTTCCTTAACGTGGCTTATGAGGGTTGAAGTGCCCATCCAAAGCTAGCCTAACTACCACCACAGTCCAGGTTATCCCTGACCCTATGAGTGACCCAGACCACCAGTCCCCCAAGACAGGCATCTCAGAAGCTATCAGGCCAGGGAAATCATTCTGCCGCAATAGGATGCACCCTCAAAGTTCAAGCAGCTACTGGGCTGGGATTTAGCTCAGTGGTGCCACCGCCTACCTTATAAGCACAGGTCCTGAGTTCGATTCCCAGTACCAAAAAAAACAAAACAATAATTAAAGCAGCTCCAAATCCCTAACAGATGACCCTCAACAGCCCCAAAAGCCGTAGGAAGGTAAGGAAGGGGTCTTAAGACACTGGCTTGGGTCCACAGGATGCCTGTGGTACAGCACTCCTAGGCCATAGCCAGCTACCAATGCTTCCTCCAGCAAGGTAGGATGCTCTAGGTCCCTGAAGGCCCCATCACCATAACCCTCAGACTACAAAGCCCTAGCAGATTGGTACTGGGACTGTAATATGTGATGGTAGGACTCCTGGAAGAAGGGGGAAGTGTTCAGACTTTCAGTGTTGAAAATTGTTCCAACCATGTTTCTGCTAATGCTCAAAATGGATGCTTAAGGGCCAGGGATTTAGCTCAGGGGTTCTGCCACCTTCCTTGTAAGCACAAGGTCCTGAACTCGATCCCTGGTACCAAAAAAAAAAAAAATGGATGCTTGATTTTCAAGTCTCAATAACTGATAGGATATTTGATTACAAAAATCCGTAATATTTAAAAACAAACTTGACTGGCAAGTTCAAGTTTCTGAACTTGATCCTCATTACCAAATAAATAAATAAATACAATGCGTAAAGCTTATATGTATGCCAAATTAAATTACTTTGGACCGGGCCAGGGATTTAGCTCAGTGGTTCCACTGCCTGCCTTGCAAGTGCAAGGACCTGAGTTAGATCCCTGGTACCAAAAAAAAAAAAAATTACTTTGGACCAATAAAAAAGCAGGGCAGGGGCTGGGGATTTAGCCCAGCGGTTCGGAGGACTGCGGACCCGAGTTCTATCCCCGGTAAAAAAAAAAAAAAAAGGAGGGCGGTGTAGGGCCAAGGATTTAGCTCAGTGGCACCATGCCTGCCTGACAAGCATGAGGTCCTCAGTTTGATTCCCCGTACAGAGTGGGGAGCAGGGAGGAGTTAGGCATGGTGGGATGGTGGTACACTCCTGTAATTCCAGCACTGGGGAGGCTGAAGCAGGTAGATTTCCCTGTTGTTGTTTTGTTTTTTGGTACCAGGGATCAAACTCAGGGCCTTGCGCTTGCAAAGCAGATAGCAGAACCACTGAGCCATATCCCCTCCCTGAGTTCTAAGGCAACAAAGTTCTGGGTTACAAAGAGTTCAAGTTCAACCTGAACTACATAGCAAGGCCCTTTCTCAAACAAAAAAGCAAGGAGGGACCATCAGCCCAGGTGGTCCTGTCCTTACTCTCCTCTTGCCATGATCGGATCACTTACCCCCATAGTGTCAGTGTTGCTCTGGGAACCCCAGGAGCTTCTCAGATCACAGGTTCCATTGACTCCTCAAGAGAATTACACATGCCGCCTGCGTAACCACCAAAGGCCTCATCCCCATCAGTTACTTACTCTCCGGGACCCCTTCCCTACAGCAGAAACAGGCTGAAGGCCCCAAGGGACTGCCCTTCGGATCTACTTATTCCTCATATCTGTTCATGACAGATGTTACAATAATGCAGGGAACTGAACTTATTCTAAATGCCCCTCACAACAAATCGAAGTCCAGTTGCCGGTACGTGTGACCGGACTGATGGAGCTTACCAATCCCACCTCCAGGAATGAGTTGGTGTCTCAGTGGAATGGCCTGGAGAAGCTAGTTTTTCCTCCTAGGTATTCTTTCTCCTACTCTTTGAACACTCCTCAGTCCAGGTTAAAGGTTTAAAAAGCCACTCACTCCTGGACCGGGGACAGAGTGACAGCCTCTGAAAAGTAGTATGCAGGCACAGGCTGAAACACCTACTGAAGACTTTACCCTACCCCTCCAAACTTCCCAGATCACCAAACTGCATACTGGACTCTTCTTGTCCTTCCCCGTAACATGTAATCCATCCCTTCTCCTCTTCCTCGCGGCTGCGATCCTGTTCCCATAAAGACAGGCGCTGAGTGCACCTCAGATCCTTCTACAAACAATCACGACTGCTGGCCAGGCACAGAGGGGTGGAGCGAGACGACAGGGTTAACAAAACCCACAGCATCCTACCTGGACCGGAGGCTTCACACCCACACCCTCCTGTCTTTGTCAAAAGGCCCAGAGCTCCCCACCGACTTTCTAGCAGCCTTCTAGGGTCAAGATTCCGCGCAGCCCCTGGCACATCCTCCACGTCCCTGACAACCTTTCCAGTCGCCCAACAGGCCCAGAAGCCTTTGCACCTGTGGCTCCCCAGCCCCGCATGGCCTTCCGGGAGAAGCGCAGCTGCACTGTCGCCGCCTCAACACCTCCTCCCCTTCGGGCCGCTCCTCGTTCTAGCCGCAGTCTGCAGCGCCTACCGATTGAATTCTGCCTGCGCAGTGGCCGCACCTTCTAAGTCACCAATAAACCACCAGCGGGTCGTTACAGCACGAACCCAAGGCCTGCTCCTTTGGACTACTGCAGGCTCCGCGGGTCCCCACGGCCGACTGCCTGACGGTACAGTGCTGCGCGACCCTCCTCACCTGCCTTAGCTCTGGGGCCCCAGTACGCGGAGCGGCGAAGCCAGGAGCACACTCTGGAGCACGGCGGGTCAAACCGTGTTAACTCCTTTCTCACCGTCCCGCTACCGGTCTACCCTGAAAGTCCCTCCCGGCCCCGGCGAACAGCCAATCTGCCTGCCCAAGGTCGCACGCAACCAGCCCTGAACAACTCTAGACGCCCCCTGGGAAAATACACTAAGCGTCCTCAACGCGGATCCTCACAGGAAGCCGGGAGCCTTTAAGAACCCGACTATCGCGCCCATTAGCGGAGGCGTCTACGTCATCGCTACGCGCCGGACAGCGTTCCTTCCTCTGACGACAGAGCGGCGCCAGCCTGAAAGGCTGAGGAGAGCGGGAGGAGGTGGTGGCGGCGGCGGGAAGATGTAAGTTGGCGACAGAATCCGACCGCATCCGAGTTTGGGGGGCAGCCCGTCAAGCCCCGGGGGGTGCCCCGTGAAGCGTGCCGGCTTGGCAGTCCCGTGGTGTGGCAGCGGCCTGGCGACGGGGCGCAGAGCTGAGCGCGAGAAAGATTGTGGCCCTGGGCGGGCTGG